TTGCATCCAAGTTGCTTTTAGCACAGAAGGTCAACTTCTTGATTCTTTTCGTAGTTCCTTAACTCCAACAATGGTGGAAGCTCTTATTTTTCACAAGATTGTATACGTCAATCTCGAGGCCCTATTGTAATGGAAGAAAGTCTTCTTGAGTTGGAAGGTTTAGAAAATGGTTAGTCTTTGTAAATTATTATCTAATTTAGAATTCTTTTTTTCTTTAATTTGTTAGTATTATATTATATTTATAATTCTAACTTGTTTCATGTTTTAAAATATAGGAATGATAGATTTAACAATCAATCAACCAACAGTTATGATTGGTGAGTCATACACTATTTTGGAGGAAGTTGATGAAGACCTCAGGCGTTGGTGATAGACTTTGAGTTACCGTTTTTATTTTATGTTTGTTAAATACTTATCTTTAAAACTTTAATGGTATATTGAAATATTAGTGCTACTTTTTTTTTGCAATGTTTATGTTATTTATTTTACAATAAATGCAGGACAATCACAGGTGGTGTCATATTTGTGCTTCATTTGCAGGTGGTGTCATTTTCTGTGAATGGAACATTATATTTTCTTATTCATTTGAGTCTCATTACATTTTTGTCCCAATTTTAATTGTATGGAACTTCTAGTTTAAGTCTAGTGTTTGAGCATTTATATTCTACATTGCTAGTGATTCTTTTAATTATATGTCTACGGAATAGTAGTTGTTCTTATTCATTTGGGTTTTATTTTGCTTGAATTTTTCCTGTTTAAGCCTAGGGTTGAATTTATTTTGCTTGAATTATATGCCAATTTTTTTCGGCTTAATTAAGTTATAAGGGGTTTTTAACGAGGTCCGATTACTTTCCAAAAAAAAACGATCATGTTGTGTTATTTTTGAAAAATAATTTTAATAGGTTAACCGTAGGTTAACCTGTAATCGAACTGTTAATAGCGGTTAACCGTTAGCGGTTAACAATTTCTTAATGATTAGGTTATAGTTAGAAAAATCTAATAACCGTCCATGAACAACCCTAATACCAACATACTAGATTCTAAACCATTCTCTTAAAAGTAATATAAATCTCAAATGAGTACTTTGAAGACCTACATGGTACTCACACTAAGCATTAACATCATATCAGTCCGGGTAAAGAGGTTGCAGCCAGAAGATATTGCGAGGTTATCAACCGTCTTTTCAATAACTATGGATATAATTTTTCGTATAAAATAGAGATTGGTATGAATTGGTTTTTTTGTATTTTTCTTTATATGCCTTAACTTATTCATTGTCTAATTTGAGGTTGATTAATACGAACATCTATCATTTCCAACTATGTTGACTTTTTTCTCTATCTTTTTAAGAGGATATGACACTTCTAATAACCTTTGTACTACCAAGCTTTCTACTCCTAACAACTCCTTTAATAAGCTCACTTAAGATTAGCAAATCTGCAAAGTCTTTAGTGGCAGTGTCCACTAACTTGTCACATTATGGTGTCTTGAGAGTATTGACAAAGAGGATGGTGATTTTCTTCTCTAGCAAAGGTGGTCGCACTTGTGCTGCTACATCCATCCATTTTCAAGTATATTGTTTAAGGCTCTCATTTGATTTTTTTTCCCCTTCATGCTTCGGAGCATCAAACGATCGATCACCATATTCATCAACTTTATCTATGAGCTCACTCGATCATAAATCAAACTATCTTGAAAGCGCTAGATCAGTAATTCTTGTCAAGATTGCCCGTCATCTTTAAATAAATGGTAGTGCGGACAGAGGGACAACTTATACCGTCAATATTTTCAGAATAATGTACTTTGAACTTAGGAGTCAACAATCATCGTCATTGAAAAAATGTGAGCTCTAATTTGGCTTAGACTAGACAAATTAGGAGCCAACAATCATCATCATCATCATACTTTTATTCTACATTCATTAAAATATCGATTAGATTTCGTATCTCAACCCTTCATTATTATCTTTACCTAAACCTCAACAAATCCAAATCCATTCTCTTACTTTCACCAAGCCACCCTCGAGTTCACCACTATATTGTGTTTTAGACCATGATAATCATAAGCATTTCTCATTGTTGTTTCGTGATTTAAATAGGAAAGATGTTTCGAAAAAAATAAGGTGATAAAGGAATAATGTTGAACACAAACAATGATTAAGAGATTATTATTTTTATATTTTTAAGGAAAACAGGCATGCAACTTAGTATTGTCATATATGTGGAATGTCAAAGCATTGAAGACTCTTGAAGACATTCTTTTCGAACCATATGCGATAAAGCCCTTTTAAAAAATAAACTATTTTTTTATAAAATGAACTACACTTAGATTTATTTGATAGCACATTTGAAAGTCAATCTTGATATATTTATACAGGCAATAATTGTTGGCACAAGTGATTGAGATTCAAGAATTTGAGCTAATAAGGTCAAGTTCGAATCCTACCACCGTCTCTCTTGTATAATCTATAAATTTCAATTGATCTTAGATATACCCTGACCTTAGACTGGAGGAGTCACCCCTGATCTAAATTTTTTTTCACCAAAAAAATAATAATATAATTTATGCATGTATGTTCCAATTTAGCAAAACTTATCTCATACAAAATATGCAATTGATGCATTAATTTTCTCAACTTAAAGAAATTTAATGAATTTTAAATAGGGATAAATAATAACCTTCCCGATAAAGATGAACATCAAAATGGGAAATTGAATTTAGGCAAAACACATGGATAAACAAATATATATATCCACCTGAAATGAAAACGACAACTTAATATATTTGAAAAGGAAAGACAGAAAATTCTACAAATTGAAAGAATGATTGTACCAAACACCATTAAAAACAAAAACTTGGGAAGGGTCAATGGCTGGAATGCAAGTTAAGGGTCACTACCAATTTTATCTCAAACTTTTTATCAAAACGATAAATAGTAAATACTGTTAATTTATTTACATAATGATGAGATCATAATTGTTTCTAAATTGGGAGCTGTTAGTTTAGGTGAAATGTCCCATAGAAAGTGGAAAATTTAATCCAAAAAATAGGGGGGGAAATAAAAGTTCCAAAAAGGAAGATAAACTGGGGTTTGGATAAATATAAAAAATATAAATTAAATTAAAAGAAAAATTAATAGAAAGTGGGGTTTGTATGAGGGTTGCAAAGACGTCCCACGTGATAAAGAGCGATGCGAGGAGGCACATGGCCCTCTATGTAACTTTTCAACCATTTTTTATTAATATGAGCCGTTTAAATATAACTCTTAACCATTTGATATTAAACGCTCACATCTCTGACATTTCTGATGCTCGAACCCAGTACTTCAAAGAATTACAACAATTCATTTAACATCGAGGTCAGTTGATTCATACTACCTTTTTAACTTATCTTCGGGTTAAATTTAATCAAACCATTTAAATTTTTAATTTTTTATAATTCTTTAATTATTATATCTTATAATATATTAAAGGACGGACTGAGATGCGACTAATAGAACAGTTATCCATGTGAAAATTTTAAATTGTTATAAATTTTAGATATTTTCTTTATATTTTTCATTGATAATTTATTTTCACCCCTAAAATTTTATAAATTCGTTATCCTCTACAATTTTAAAAATTTACCCTTAACATAATTGTGTCTTCTAATATACTATGAGAATAACCATGATCCCAATCGTAACGAACAAACATGAATAGCCTCGTTTTTGTGGATATGAATGGAATATAATAGCTTGATTTATTCTGAAATCAGATCCATGCATGTGGAACAATATTTAAGGATAAGATTCCTATTAAGCATGCATTACGACTTCCGGCCATTTAGTACGTGGCAGGCAATGGGGAAACACGAGAAGTGACTGTGTAGAAGTAGAGAAAGAAGGGGATATTATTATATGCCATTGTTATGAGGTGAAACAGTTGTTTACTTGGAACGCACTCTATGTATTTGCTGCGTATGCTTTACTTCTACACTAATCCTTACTCACCCTTTTCTTTCTTTAGATTTTGCATTGGAAAGCAAATATGATTCTTTTGTATGGATTTCCGTTGATTTAGATCAGAGACAAACATATTATTTTATGTTAGGGGACGAACTTCTAAAATTTTAGAAGCATCGTTTATATGATAAAATTGAAATTTTAGAGGATGGCTGCTCTTCTCTATCTATCCCGGGTTTGGATCATTTATATGACTATGTCTCATAGTATAATATGCTTATTTGCATGTAAGAAAGCAATTTATTTCAATTAAGAATTCATGTCAGAATCCCTAAATAATCAATTCCTTTTTATGAAAATGATCAAACTAGAGGGAAGGTGAGCTGGGCCACTTTAACCGAACTGTGAAGGGTTCTTTTTGAACAATATCAGGTGAGTTAGTCTGAACCATAACTTTACATTTGGGCAACAAATACAAAATGTAAAAGAAACAAAGATGAAAATAGCAAGGAAGCTTCTGTCAATGGAAGCATAATTTGTAATTGTTATATATGTATATATGGTCCCATGGTATGTTTTCAGAAGTCATCTGAGTCCACAACAGCATAGCTTGTTTAGTTTAATCTTTCATCTTAATTTTCTCCATTCAAACGGTAAGGACAGTATAAAGAGTTGCATTGGATAGTTAGAATAATAAATTTGAATAGCGTCAACTTAAATAATTAAACCATATCTCGTTTCCTTCGATTTTGTCAAAAACATAACATTAACAAATCATCATTTGTCATACTAAAAGCAATCAGACAATTTTGGCCAACATACCGGCCATTGTACTCAAGCCAGCAGAGGGCCAAGGCCGAATGAATAAATTTAAATCCTTTCTTAGATCTAACTGCATCCATATCGAAAAACTTCAAACAATAATTCATGAAGTATCCGATAGAACTTTGTTCGCGTTAAAAACGAAGTTTCTTGTTTTTTATACAATAATATCTCTATCCTATAAAGTGAAGCAAAATGTTTCAACTAAATAACTTGCAGAAAACCAAGTCTGGAAATGGAGTTCCATAGGATTCTTTCGGCTGCCTTCCTTTTCTTGCTGTTTCTTACCTGCAATGGTGATTCATTTTCCGGGAATTCCAATCTATTCCGAGAGTATATCGGTGCCGAATCTGACTCGATCAAGTTCTCGGATGTGCCTATAAACTCGGGTGTCGAGTTCCACTTCATTCTGGCCTTTGCAATCGACTATACTGATGACAATCATCCATCACCTGCAAATGGAAAGTTCAAAGCATTTTGGGAAATTAACAATCTTGGTCCGTGCCAAATTGGCTCATTAAAAGATAGTAATTCAAATGTGAAGATTGCTGTCAGCTTAGGGGGTGATAGTGTAGGCAAAGGTAAAGCCTTTTTCGCACCCAAGAAAGCCTTTTTCGCACCCAAGTCAAAGACAACTTGGGTTCAAAATGCTGTTTCTTCACTCACTGATATAATCAATCGGTACGACATCGACGGAATCGATATCGACTACGAACACTTCCGGTCGAGCCCCGAAATGTTTGCGGAATGCATCGGACAGCTCGTAACGATTCTGAAACAGAGTGGGACGATTTCGTTCGCTTCGATTGCTCCCTACGAAGAGATTAATAGCTACTATTTAGCTCTGTGGAGGAAATATGGACATGTAATTGACTATGTAAACTTCCAGTTCTACGCCTATGATAAGCTCAGTGTTTCCGGGTTTATAAGTAAGTTCAAAGAGCAAGCCTCTAATTACGGCGGAAGTCAGTTGTTGGCCAGCTTCCAGAGCGGCGGCCACGGCGGCCTGAGACCTTACGATGGATTTTTTGAAGCCTGCAACAAGTTGAAAGATGAAGGAAAGCTCGGTGGCATCTTTGTATGGTCTGCTGATGAATCAAAAAACAAGGGCTTTAAATACGAGAAGAAAGCTCAGGCTCTACTTGCTGCTTGATCAGTGTTTAATTATTAGGTAAACTAAGTCATCTCCTTCACCCTCATCTAGAGATTTAAAATTCCAGTGATTTTGACAGTAAACAATAGCATATAGAATAGTTCAAATACACACCCATTCTATCAACGCCATGAAAATAATAAACTATTTTAAGTCCTTTCTTTATCCCCATTTATTCGTCAAAAACTTTTTAAGAAAGAAGAACCGAGTTTTTACTTTTAGTTACATGCGAGTGTTGCAGGGTATGGAAAACAAAGTACTTGAACCTGGTTATACAGAAACCTGATATGACCCATCGCCTCATGGAATAATTTCGTATCCATTTGCAACATCAGCAAATTCCCATAATTATCATCTTAGTTCTATTTTCGTCATCTAACCATTTTTTAAGTTATCATTAATGTTATGTTTTTGTTTTATTTTAATCATTTATTATTAAAAAATTAACGATAATCCTAACATGTCACTATAATATAATGACACAACATCATCAGAAAATAAAAAAATATCACATCAACAGTAATGCTAAATTTTAAAAGTGGATGAGCAAAATGAAATCAAAATACAACGTTAGTAATAATTTTAAAAAAACAATAATTGGATGACCAAAATAAAACTAAAATGATAGTTGAATGACTAAATACATAATTTACTCCAAGTTATTATTGCGTTTAATATAATAATAATCGGAAATTTCTTGTTTTACGAAGAATTGTTTGTCATTTTCCTCAAGCTGTGACTTATTTTTTACACTGATTAACATCGGAAGTTGAAATGTTGATGCGTCGTTTGGTTGGTTAATGCAATGAATTGTGTAATTAAATCGATTATTTATTTCTATATAATACATCATTTATTATTATTTTATCCATAATATTATAAGATAATTTATTATAAATTATATAGTACCATATTTATCCATAGGTAATTAATTATACAAATATTTCTATTTATTACTATTTCATACATCATATACTATTAATTTATAATTATTTATCTTTAATATTATTATTTGAGTAAAATTCTAAAAATTACATTTCACCGTTTTAAAAGATAGCTTGAGTAAAGTGGTGTTTGTTTTTGTAAAGGTAAAAGGTCTGCAGTTTGCGGACCATATCTGCAGGCATCTGCAGCAGAAGAGGTAGACCAAAAGTTTGCAGTCTGCAATAAGAAGACTGTTTGTTTTTTAATGTCTGTAGACTGCTAAAATAAACTGAAATATAAATAAACTGATTTTTTAAACTATACTCAAATAATCATTTTCGTCAAATAAAGTATATTAGATATCGTTGAGTTATATAATATTTTTTTACTAAGTTTAATATTTTTTTCAAATAAAGTATATTAGATATCGTTGAGTTATATACAAATGATCATTTTCGTCAATAAAGTTTAAAAAATTATAAAATACTTATTAAATTTATTAAAAGATTATAAAATTATTAATAAATTTATCTAAATACTATAAAATAATTATTATATTATCAAACTTTTATAATTTATTACAACATTATAGTGACTATTTTGAAATAATTCATTAAATTTAATGACATTTTATAATTTTTTAAAAATTAATAGCAAAAATAGTTCTTTGAAGATAAGAGCTTTGAAGACATAAGTTCACGTCTGCGCCAAGAAGAGGACGCGCAGACGTTAGAAGAGCTTCTGTCTTCTAAAAAACAAACGGTCTGCGAAGTCCAATGTCTGCGTGTGGTCTGCGCGGCGCATACATAAGAGCTTTGAAGAACTTAAACAATGAAAACAAACACCACCTAAGTATCAATGTAGAAAAAAAAAGTTAGTCGTTTTCTTCATCTTCCTTTTTTTTTCTTTTTAACTTATGTCAATTTTATTGATCAATCTAATTTTTTTTAATTTTATATAACTGGTGGCGACACCAATTTTGATGTTTGTTGCAGTCCGTCGATTATTTTTTTCTGTTTTAGTTTTTCTAATAAGAATACTTATGTCTTTTTGACATGTTCTTTGCCTTTATGACACGTTTATGTCTGTCTTTGTGACACGTTTTTCTCTGTTTTTTGTTAGCATACCATTTTTTTGCCTTTTTTTCGTTGATCTTTTATTCTCAAGGTTGGATTTGACATAGCCACGACTAATCAAGATAGCGCTTATTCGTTATCATGTTGATATTCCCTGCTTTGAGCCCTTATATTGATTTGGATATACATTTTGCGTGCGTTGATAGTTTTCTCACGTCACTTGACTCTGATTTGCGATTTTTCGGTAGTATTCAATAGCTTCATCACTTTCATGGTTTGTTTGTCGATGCAGTCAGATTTATTCCTATTTTTATTTTGTTCAAGCATTGATTAGATTTTTTTAATCTTTTCTTTTTTTGGTCTTTGTGTGATCTAGGTGTGTAGACACTCATTTTCGTCCGGGGCTTATTTAGTATATATATTAATATAGTATAGTTTTTGAAAATATTTTTGAAAAAAATATAATATATAGTTTTTAGAAAACGGTTTTTGAAAACATATAATATATACTTTTTACAAAATCAATTTTTGAAAAAATATATATATATATAATTTTAAAAATAATTTTTGAAAAATATATTATATAGTTTTGAAAACGAATTTTGAAAATATATATATTATATAGTTTTGAAAACGCTTTTTGAAAATATATATTATATAGCTTTGAAAACAATTTTTGAAAATATATATATTATATAGTTTTGAAAACAATTTTTGAACATATATGTATTATATAGTTTTGAAAATGATTTTTGAAAATATATTATATAGTTTTGAAAATCAATTTTTGAAAACATATATATTACATAGTTTCGAAAATAATTTTTGAAAATATATATATATTATATAGTTTTAAAATTGATTTTTTTGAAAGCATATTATTTTTTAGTTTTTATTATATATCATATTAACATTATTTATTTTTATTAATATTTTTTCTGATTTTTGTTTTTTAGGTCTAACAAAAGTCATGCAATGGTCCAAAAAGGAAGCCCAACCGAGCATTCAAGCCTGATCCAACAAGTAAACCCGGTGAGAGGCCCAAACGTGCAGACCCAACAGAGGGTTAGAGTTTTCCAAACCCTAAGAAGACCAACTGGCGGCGGCGTGCTTGTAGGTCACGCGCCAGTCAAGTCTCAAAAACAGTTCGAAAAAGTCAAGACTGAGCCATCCCAATATTTCCAGTCAACATGAAACCGACCGGATTTTCCAACAACAAACGTCGAACAGGACTACAGTATCCCGTAATATCCGGTAACAAACCCCGTCGGAGGGACTATATATACGATGGAACTCAACACAAAAAGGGAAGCAAAAATACGAAGATCAAGCAAACAGAGGTTGAGCAAACCAAACAACCCAAAAACACACAAAAAAATCATTCGAATATAGCAAAAAAAATAAAAACATTAAAGCCTTCACCGAATGCCACCGGGAAAGCGTAAGGACTATGTCGAGAAACCTAGGGTCGCCGGAGAACAAAGAATCTCGTCGAAAACCAAGGTAAAGGTCGAAGCTTTGGGATCTAGATCTATTCCGATCTAAACTTTCTTTTGATTTTTTGAGGGTGGATTCGGGTTTACGGGGACGAGGAAGATTTTTTGGTTGAGTTTGGTTTTTTCGGCCATCGATGGTGGTGGCCGGAGCGACGGTAGGTGGCCACCAGACGGTAGCCGGTAATCGGGGCCGAATGAGGAGAGGGGAGAGTGTTTGAGGGTTGAGAGAGTTTTTTTTGAATGGTTTGATTTTTTTTTGTTTTAGGGTATTTATAACCGAGGGATTAGGTTATAATTAACTAATAGTTAAATTATTTTTGCAGTCCCTTATATTTTAATTTGTAATTCGTTTTGGTCACTCACCTTAATTTTGCCTCTCAATTTTCAATTAATTCAATTTAACCCTTCATTGTATTTATTATATTTCACGATTTAGTCCCCTAACATTTTATATTTTTTGCAGCTCATTTTCTTGTATTAATTAGATCCATAAATTTCAATTTAATTCAATTTGATCCTTTAATTTTTTATCTATTTATTTATTTATTTATTTACTTTTCTGATTTAGTATTTTATTAACATTTTTTTCTTTTAACATTCTTTATCTTATTTTTATTTCTTTCAAAATTTAGCATTTTTTATTTTATTTATTTCACAATTGAATAATTCTTTTGACTTTTTAGTGGCAATTTTAACTAATTAAAGGTAAGTAATTCGAATCGAGTCTTTAAATTCTAATTTTAATTTTAATTTTTACAATTAAGACAACCGATAAATTAAAATGGTATCGAAGGGGCAGTTCAAGGGTGCTAATCATTCCTTGACTGTAACCGACTCCCGAATCTGACATATTTCTGGTAAAACGCAGATCATGTAAGATGGTGTCTTATCAACCAAATATTTTACGGAAAATAAAAGATCGGTGGCGACTCTAACGTGTTTTATTTAAGTCGAAGCCCAATTCCGGACCCACCCGAAAGACGGTTACGACAAGGTGGTTAGTTTTTATGTGAATAATTATAGGAAAATGTCCTAATTATAATTTAGTTTATGTTTACAGTTAAGCTTGTAAATCTTTATTGTGATTTTGGATAGTTTCTATTTTTAATAAAACTAACTGATTTCTGTATAAAAAAATAGTTTAAGTTAACAGTTCTTTAAAATCTCAATTCATACTTATCTACAACTCGTTAAATTAATATTTTTTATTAAAGTTACTAAAATTGACATTGATTATATTTTTAAATTATTTTAAAAAAATGTTAAAAAAATAGACTTGATATCATATGAATGCAACTATAAAATTATAGTTTTCTATTACGAAATACCAAATAATAATATTAATTTATCACTTATTATCATAATATAAAGCTCTTATTTATCTCAACTCAATAACTTAATAAAAGTCCTAATCTATTAAAATTTGCAATTTGTTGTGGATTTTGACTCTATTTTTAAAAAAAATAAATACAAAGTCCTTTTGTGCTCTCTTGGTCTTCATCTA